GCCTGACTGGGGGCCACTGGGAAAAGTAACCATAAAGAACACATAAAAACAAGAATCTTTGAACATCCCTTGAGCCATGACTGAGAGACTGGCTAAGACCAAGCTAATCCAACACAAGAGGAAAAGTGGCTCCTTTCCCAGGCTCTAGATAACATAGAAAAACAAAGTGGCTTCGGCCAGGTGCGGTGGCTCACACCTGTAATACCAGCACTTTGGGAGGCCGAGGCGGGTGGATCACAAGGTCAGGAGATCAAGACCATCCTAGCTAACATGGTGAAACCCCGTCTCTATTAAAAAAGATACAAAAAAAATCAGCCAGGTGTGGCGGCAGGCACCTGTAGTCCCAGCTACTCAGGAGGCTGGGGCAGGAGAATGGCGTGAACCCGGGAGGCAGAGCTTGCAGTGAGCCGAGATCACGCCACAGAACTCCAGCCTGGGTGACAGAGCAAGACTCCATCTCAAAAAAAAAAAAAAAAAAAAAAAAAAAAAAAAAGAGTGAAGCATACACTTTTTACCCTTCTTGTAACTTTCTCTGTAACTCTATAACAACAAAATAACAACAACAAAAAAACATCATAGGCCAAAAAAGCCCATATAAAAATTGCAGGGAGCCTTCAAAATGCTATTTCTCCTGTAAATCTCATTCACATGCCATCTCTGTTCTTCCTATAATTAGAACTTTGCCTGTATTTATTTGTCTTCTCCATTCAGGATAAAAATGACCCAGTGTGTATTAAAAAAAAAAAAAAAAAAAAAAAAACAAAGTGGCTTATACACTTTTCAAATACAACAACAACAACAAAATAACAACAACAAAAAAACACATCATAGGCCAAAAAGCCCATATAAAAATTGCAGGGGCCTTCAAATGCTATTTCTCCTGTAAATCTCATTCACATGCCATCTCTGTTCTTCCTATAATTAGAACTTTGCCTGTATTTATTTGTCTTCTCCATTCAGGATAAAAATGACCCAGTGTGTATTCACAATGATTTCTTTAAAAATATCAATCCAGGAATTCACAGCCTGCTACTTTCCTTTTGAATTGGCAGTCTGGTTCCTTTGGGTTCACAACGATGATTTCTTTTCGCAGCACAACCATCACTCTCCAGCCAGGAGCTAGAAGCATGGCAGGTGCTTTCTTGGCAGGCACCTTGCTTTGCCAACTCCACTATGCCCACACTGCCCTGAGCACTCCCTTCCTTCCCTAAACCATGCTTTGGAGGCTGGCTCAGGCTGAGCAGTCAGGGCTGGTAGACTCGCTCCTGCCAGATGAGCAAGCTGTTCACCCGACCAAGGGTCAAAGTTGTTTCTACCTAAATCTGCTTAAGTCTCTTGCTCATTAGTGGTAGCACACATTTGGTTAAATTGCACAAAAATATACAGGTGTGAAGAGAAAGAGTTGGTGGTGAGGAAGGATAAAGGTAACGATCTGAAGGTTTTAAAAAAAACCGTTGCCACATTTGGTGTGAAGGAGACAACTAAAGAAGGTAAGGGGTGAGCGGTGGCAGGGTGCGGCTCTAGAACTTGAGAAGGAACCCAGTGGGAATCATCGAGGATGCACCATGGATGCAGAGATAGATGGAACTCAAACCAGCAAACCCATATTTAGGGAAGTGGCCTTGGCCCTATGTCATAAGATTGTATTGATAAATGATGAACGAATATTCATTTTGATATTTTAAGCTAAAATTAGATATTAAGGCAGATGTTTTAGGACTTTAGGATTCCCTACTTGATTCAACTCTTTCAAAAAAACTAGTCCGTAAATTCAAAATCCTCCTAAGGCTTATCTATCGGGGCAAAAAGAGAAAAAAAGTGTGTGTGTGTGTGTGTGTGTGTGTGTGTGTGTGTGTGTGTGTGTACAGCTTTGCAAAATTAGAGAAATCCATCTATTAATCAATAAAATTATACACATACAATACATGTTATATTTTATTAATAGATTAATCCTACAGTATTGCAAAACTATTATGTTCTTGCCTTGATCTGTCTCTGTGATTTAGGGGTTTTTGTTTATTGCCTTTTCTGTTTATTTTTAATCATCAGTGGAATTAGAGAAGAGCTATCATTAGCATTTATATAACATTCACTACAAGAGAAAAGGACAGATTTTATATTATACAGTGACAAGGGCCCAGTCTCTGCAATATAACAAGTAAACTGGAACAATGGGGAATTTTTGATGATATTTTAAAACTTTGGATTAAAAGGCCAGCCTTTACACATTTTGTTTTATGTAAATATCATAGACTATATGGTTATTTTTTCCTTTTTCCTACTTGAAGCAAGTCCAGAATGACGAGCAGGATTTAGCTAGCAGTGAATAATAGAAAGGAGGCTGGTATTGTAGATGATGGCAAAGGCCTATCAGCCTCTAGGCAAATCCAGTAACAGCTCTGCCAGTGCTCCTCTCTCTCCTTTATGCAATCAACATTCAGTTTCTCTGCAGCCAACAGGCAGGCAAAAGTGAGCAATATTTCTGAGAAATGTATTAATCATTTTCCTTGTCTTGACTTGTGGTTTTTCTTAATGCATTATTACAACATTAAAAGAAAAGTCATCTTCTATGACAGAAGCATTTTCAATTCTTGTTCCCTTTCAGTATTTGATCACAAGCATATAGATATATTTTACATGGTTTTATCCTAGTGTATGCAGTTTTGTGTTCTGATTTGTTCAATTTGCAAAAAAACTATTTTTGTATTTCCATTGATTCATTTACTTATTCAGCAAGCATTTATTAAAGTGCATATTAGGTTTCAGGCACTATTCCAGGTACCACAAATATAAAAATAGACAAAAATCAGGTCCCTGCCATTGAAAAGCTCTCAGCTTAGTAGAATATAACAGATAATTACAATGCAAAGTATCATAACAAATACATATTTAAAAACCTGTGTTTACCATCTTAATGGCTTCACAATGTTTTACCTGGAAAATACACCTTAATTTTCCTTCTTGATTATTTTTCATTATCACAAATACTGCTGTAATTAACACGTTTTACATGTTTCTTCTATCATCAATCAGTTTCTGTGGATAAATTCTCAGGAACGAGATCACTGAGTCAAAAAGTGTTATTCAGATATTTATAGCTCTTGACATACCTTGCCAAATAGCTTCAAATAAGGATAACACAGACATACAAATTCACCAGTTCTTCTACGCCTTGCCAACAGCCTTACCACTAAATATTTTCTTCGGATTTTCATAAGTAAAAACCCATTATTGTCTTAATTTGTATTTATTTAATTAATAGCCGAGCAGAACATTTTCTTGTGGTTAAGATATTTTTCTCCGTCTGGGTTCTGTGTTTATGGCAAATTTATCTATAATTTATCATTGTTATAAGAGCTTCCTAATATTTTCACATACTACATATATAATAACTTTTGTCATAATTTATTGCAAATGTTTTCCTATTTATTGTTGTTTTTCTTTAGCTGGACTAGCTTCAATTCATACCAAAATCTTAACCATTTTTCTTATTAGTCACATCTGTTTATTTTTTCTTCTGGAATTTCTTTTCATGGTTATAGCCTTAAGAAATTTGTCATTCTACCACTGAAATAAATGTTCTCTGTTTTCCATTCATTTTTTTCACTCATTTAACTTTCAATAAATGTCTTCTATGTGCCCTGCTTGCCACCAGGGGTAAAAAAGGATGAATGACATGTTAATTATCCAAAATTTGGAAGTAGGTAAAAGGGGTTCCTGCATGCCCTCCCAGTGCCACACTGGGGACCCCATTAATTGCTTCTGGAGGGACATGTATCTCTGCTTGGCACACTATTTACTATTTATGAGGCTAGTTTACAACTCTGTTACTGTGGATGTTAACTGGTGAAAACTGAGAGCACTGCAAATGATTCCTGCCAGGTAGTAACAAAAATAAATTTTGACGAGCAGAAATGCAAAGGATTTGTACCCTAAAAAAGATAACCTCAAAGGTTACAGTTTTATTGCACTGTAGGGCACTATGTAGTTATGCATGTAACTTAGCAATCTTAAATATTTTTTTTCAGTCATTATCTTTGTTCTTTCACAATTCTCTTCAGGCCAGCCTTACCATCTTACAGATCCCTTCATTAACGAGTTAAATAAAACTCTGGCACAGGCTCACATTAGGTTATGTATGAGTTAGGAAATCTGGCTTCTAGCATCACCCCTGCCACTTCCACCCACATGACAGTTCCCTTAAGGTCCTCCTCAACTTCTAGCTTCCTTTTCTATGAATTATGGGTTTCTGTAAGGTCAGAGAGCATCAGCAAACAATAAGCAATTAGAAAACTGTGTTTCTACATATAGATACAACCGTTGAATCAGAATGAATGATAAGGTTCTAAGACTAAAACCCAGGATCCCTTGGGCCTAAGGGAATCTGGAGGGACATTTCACTAGCAGGAACAAGAGAATGTGGTACAGCAGGAAGAGTGAGGGTCTCCAATCACAGGGACCAGGCTTGGCCGTCAACCCTGCCTCTTCTAGGGTCTCTTGATCCTCCTTCCTCATCCCACACAATAAATTGTGTGGGCTGAGGAAATGGGCTAACGCTTAAAGAACTTTGTCACATCTGCTACATACTACGTCTTCTAAGAAATTTCACTCCTTTTTTTTGCCCTCTAAATCCACGATGTCCCCCCCAATAAATACTAAATCCATGCTCTAAAGATGGATCTGGGTCACTCTGGATACCCAGAGTCTATGATCAATTCAAGTAGAAGAGAAACTTGGTGGCACCGGGTTGGAAATTTCAGAGGTATTTAGTAAGCTGTGTCAGAGACAATGCTTTCCAATGGCCCCAGGTTTGAACTCAGCTGGCTTGGGGGCATTCCTCTGGGGAAAGCCATTTTCTCAGACAGGAGACTCAACTAGAGGATCCCTAATTTCAAGACCAAACAGCCTGTGAGTCTGCAGCAAGGCGTTTTCATGGGTGGGTAAGCAGTGACTATGACAGCCCATTCGAGGCCACTGCACTGCCCGGCCGGGTTGCTTACCTCTCCTACCACCTCTATGATGTCACCAACTTTCAGCTCAAGTTCATCGTCATTCTGGGGCAGGTAGCTGAAAGCCACCTGGCACCGGCGCCTCCGTCGCTCGCCTGGATGGGAAAAGCAAAATATTTAGAGACAGCTCTTCTCCCCAAATTAGATTTTTAAAGAGAGGCTTCCTAGGCATGCAGGCAAATTAAGCTGACTTGTCTCAAATAGCTCTCTGGGACATGGCTAGAGGCACGGCAGCCCCGGTCTCTTAGAGAGAGGCAGTAGAAAGCAGAGCAATGCTTCTTGGTCTTTTAAAAGCTGCTGGGTCAGAAAGGCATGGATATGAGAAACCGATCCATTGGTGCAGAAGGCAAATACCCCACCCCTGAAGCACTGGAGCACAGTGTTGCCTTAAACGGATTTCCATGGATGGGGCTTTATATTTGCTGCTATTGATTTTTAATGGAAGCTGATGTGATGTGGTAGAGAAAAAAGAATGGTCTGCTTCTAACGCTAGCAAGGCAGAGGGGATTTTTCTAAATGTGCAAAGGAAAGATAAACTATCCTGGGCTTTTTCTTACTAATCATCACCCTTTCAACATACGGGAACTCAAGCCTGATAAGTGAAGGCTGATTAGATTTCAGCCTGCTCTTGGTACCATTTCAAATGCCCCACAGGATTCAACAAATCCACTTCTGTCCTATTCCCTCTGTCCCAGGGGATCCATTAACAGGATCCCTGGCTGCTTACACAGAACCAAGCCAGACAAATCAAGATAAGAGTCAGGGCCACACTTCACTCGACCAGAGGACACTCAAGGTTACAACATCTCACTCACCCAGCGTGGCCCATCTGGGAGACCCTGGCTTAGAGCTGGTTCAAGTACAGACACAACTGTCCACAGCACATCCACACCACAGACGTGCACTATGTGGAGAAAGAACATGTATAGGGGTAAGCGTGAGACAGACAGACAGACAGACAGATGGACGGACAGTGGAGGCCCAAGCCAGGGAGGCGGATGGGAGATAGGAAGTGAGACCAACATTGCTCAGAAGTTTGTCACTAATGGCTGACTGCCTCACACCATTCCTTCATGCCACTGCATGGCCTAGAAAACCAAAGGGATCAATGACTTCAAAGAAACACATTTAGAAATGCTTAAATTATTTTTGGGCACTGCCTACAGGGATTCTTTTTCTTTTCTAATCTTTTCTCTGAGAAAGGAAGTCCATGCAGAGGTGATGAGAGGGCACATTAAGGCCCCGATGCAGGATGACATCATACAAAGGGGAAGGTCTCTGTGCTACATCGGATGTGTGCCCTGATCAATATATTTCAAAAGCCAGCGGCCTAGTTCCCTCTGTTCCATTTTTCTCACCTGTACCTCACTAAGCAAGAACAGAGTTGAATAGAGGGAAGAGGGCAGAAGTTCAGAATCGGTATGTTGTCTAATCACATCTTTGGTGACTCCACAAATATTCTCCACCCTTCTGTGCAAAATTACAAGCCTCTGGGTCTTAAGAACAAACACAGCGCTTCCAGGCCAATTCCTAGGTGCTGATGGCACTGTCAACAGGCTAAGTAGTGCAACCCCAAGGAGGGCTTGGCACTCCCTAGGACAGAGGGCCCACTCCAACTTGCTTTTCCAAGGAGGAAAGTCAGGAGGAATGGGTATTCCGACGCAAAGAACACCACCACTATTCCATGGCTTCCCACACAATGGAAGGCAAATCAAGTACTCTGTACCAAAAAAGATATGGATTTCTCATTCTAGCAAAGAAAGTCTATATTACAGAGCAATCTTGGTACCCCATTCCTGACCCCTGCAACTCCCCTGGCCCCATAGATACTTCTTAAGATGAAGTTCTACTATCAATCTTTAAAGGGCTTTCATTTGCTAGATGTTATGTTAAAAGCAAACTCTGCAGACACAAATCTGAACATGAAACAAGTGAAATGACAAACGTCTGAAAACCAACACTCACAACCACAGAAGTCAAAGTCCTCACCAAAGTGACTTCAAATAACACCATCTGAAGATCTAGTGTTAGCTGAAGCCATAAAACTTACAGTTGTATGTAAGTTCATATCTTCAAAAAACCCTCTGTAAAAAGTAGCATCTGATCCAACACTGCACAAATGGCAAAGGAGAGTGATCTACTCTTAGAGAAAAGACAGGACCTGAAACAGAATAATCAGACTGCTCTTAAACCAAATATCTGCATCGGACTTCCATAAAGGCCTGCCTGGTGTCAGAAGAATGATGTCTTCGCTAGTTTCTCTCTGCCAGGCTAGTCCATCCTTCTTAAGAGCCTCATGACTGTTACTCTTTTGGTGGCATAAAGTCCTATAAAACTCACTGCCAACATTCTAAGAAGAGTAAGCCTTACAGAGGGCACAGGGGAGGGACCCAGAGATGGCTGGTGGTAAAGATCACCTGACCTGACGCCAAGCACAGTCATTCGCCCTCGCATTGGGATAGCTCACAATCACTTCCGATATCCATCATCCTCTCCTCCTGCCAACCACATGAGTTAAAAAATAAAAGCCAGAATGGGCAATCATTTTGCAAATGAGGAATCCAGGACTCAATGACTTACCCCAGGTCACCAAGCTAGTAAGTGGCAGCATTTCCTTAGCCTAAGTTCATAGTTCTCTCTCTAGTGCTGGATAAACTAATTCAATTCACGTTTTGTGCCAAATTCTTTGCAATCTGTACTCAACTGCTTCCTACAACACTGTACCACATCACTTAGATCTCTGCCATGGATCTCTCATCACAGAGAGCCCCAAACTCCTGGAATGCTGCTTTTCGAGGCCTCAACTATAGCTTGTCACGGATTTGAATTTGTTTGTCAGTACCACCTGACCTACAACCCAGTTCAAGGGGGATGCTTGAAGTTGGGAGAAATTGTATTTCTGTTGCATTCATCCATCTTAAACTTAAGGAAGTCTGAGGAAGTCATTTGTCATTTTTTCCCTCTTCCTGGAATTTCACTGATGTTTACTAGTGAGTCTTGACCTTCCTTAAAGAGGTAAGGAGAGGACAATGCCACCTCATTTCAATAGCTCACATAAACTAAAGGAAAAAAAACTTACGACTTGCCTATGCCTGAGGTTTGGAATCCTTCAGTTTGAGCCACCACCTTCATGTCCAAATGAACTAGGCGTGGAATTTTTACAGTAGTCCCCCCTTATCAACAGTTCCACGTTCTGCAATTTAGTTACCTGTGGTCACCTGAGGTCCAAAAATATTAAGTGGAATATTCCAGAAATAAACAATTCATAACTTTTCAATTGCATGTCATTCTGAGTAGTGTGATGAAACCTCATGCCATCCTGCTGCATCCTGTCTGTGAATGTGAATCATCCATTTGTCCAGTGTCTCCACGCTGTAGATGTTCCCTGCCCCTGAGTCACTGATACTGTTTGCTCCTTACATCCAACCACAGATAGCGTTGTGACTCCACGATCCAGGATCACTCAAAGCAGATGATCCTCATTCTGACAGATCATCAGAAGGTCAATAGTAGCCGAACACTACGTCACAATACCTACATCATTCACCTTGCTTGATTACATCATATAGGCATTTTATCATCTCACACCATCATAAGAAGGCTAAGTACAGTACAATAAGATATTTTGAGAGAAAGAGAACACATTCCCATAACTTTTATTGTAGTATATTGTTAGTGTTGTACATTATTATTAGTGTTTTTCTATTGGTGTTAATCTCTTCCTGTGCTTAATTTATAAATTAATCTTTCTCATAGATATGTATGTATAGGTAAATACAAAGTATATATAGGGCTTGGCACTATCCACAGTTTCAGGCATCCACTAGGGGTCTTGAAATGGAGCCCCCACGGATAAGGGGGGAACAACTGCATTAAGTGAAATAAGGGTTAGTTGATCACAAGCACTGTGATATCACAATAGCCGATCTAATGATAACTGAGACAGCACACCCTCAACTCTCTCACTAGACCCCATGGTCACCTTTCATTTGTGACCACTTACTGTTTAATAAAATAGTAACATTTATTGAGCACCTGCTATGTGCCATAGACTGCTAAGCACTTTACATATGCTACCCCATTTAGTCCTCACACTGAACCTCCGGGATAGATTACTAACCCCCTTTTTACAGACAAGAAGACCTTGGAGGCACATAGAGATCACATATTTTACCAGAGGATTTCAAACCAGGCAATGCAGCTCCAGAAGCACTATCTCCCTCCCACATCTGACTGTTCTTAAGCATTCTCAGTCCTGGGTGTTGAGATCACAGAAGGAACTAGCTACACTAACATGGTATTTGTTTGAAAGGTGGAACCAGGAAGCGAAAAACCACAAATCAGGAGCTTTTGCTTATAGCTGCTGGGCTCTTGGTCCCTACAGGCCCCAGATTTAATAAAATAAAGCTGGTTGGATGGGGAGGCAATGCAACTGCCTTCTCAGAAAAGGAAATAGCAGAAACTGACTATTGTGTCATGACCCAGTCCCCAAAACAGCACATACATCTATATTTTAGAGGCTACATCCTAGGATCTTACAGCATGTGAAATTTACTAGGTCCATTCATTCAGTGTACGTGAAAATATACTAATAACAAATAATGTATTGGATGAAAAAAGTCTTTGGGTCAACTGAAAACTTCAACACTTACAGAGCTTCCCGCCCTCCACCCCCACCCCCCCACCTCTTTTTTTTACATCCCCAATTCCCCATGATGGAACAAGAGTAAAGCTACAAGGGTTTAAATCATCTGATATTTTCAAATAATCCACCAAATTAATCAACTAGATCCTTACCACATACCTGGGGAACGTGGCAGTATTCTGAAATCATATTGAAAGGGAGAAACCACTGATAAAAAGCAAAAGAGGAAAATCAAAAGAAACCCCTAATTCCCAGTTTCCAGGGTTACTTCTGGGATTTTCTACACATATGGCCTGGGGACCACCTGCACCAGACTGTTAAAATGCAGGGCAGAACTACTGAACTTATTCTTTGGCGTTGGGGCCAGGGACCTGCATTTAAAGCTATCTCTTGAATAATACTCATGAAAATCTAAATCTCAGCAACAAATCAGTACCACAAATAACAGAT